ATGTGTGAGTTTAATTCAAGTTTTATTTACTCAACCGGTGATAATTGTAAAAAGTGGCATTAAAAATTTAAAGCTGTGCTGTGAACTGTGAACAGCAAAAATCATCGTGGATCGTGGCATAACGTCGATTTCCATGTTTCATAGGTATTTCAAACATGCGTCCTTATATAAATAAAGTTTCTTGTATGCAACACACTGTATTTATTTATAAATTAAACGAACATAATAATAAATTTGAATAAACAATATTTGGCGATAATTCCGGAAAAAGCCAAACATGAGCCGAACCGCTCATACAAGTACCTCCATGGTCCATAGTTGTTCTCGTATATACAGATTTTAGATGATAACCCTCCAGGCGAATAAACTGAGCCTCTTGTCATGTCCATGTGGTTTTTTTTGCCCAAAAACATTTTTAAAAATTTCGAATTTTTTTTAATTTTTAGTTAAAAAACATAATATATTCATAATATGGCAACATAGGTAGTAGATTAAATTTACAAGAAAGAAAATCCAGAAAAGATCCAGTGGTTCTCAAAATTTTGCCAAAAAATATTTTTTTTTGAAATTTTCAAAGTAAAATAACTCCGTTATTTTGGAGTTATTTGAAAAACGATAAAGAGAAAATATGTTTCTTTTATCGAGATCTATCACCCCTTAAAATACTTGCACTTATTACTGGGACAACCTGTATAATTTATTAATTTTATTTTAATTTTAATTTTATTAATTGTGTTTAATAAAATTGCGTTTATCTCATCAAGGAGGCCGAATTCGACAAAATATCAAGAGATGACTTTTAATTGGCAATAAACGGCCTACACAATTTCGATATCAAAAGAAAAAAGTGGCGCACATGTTTTTTTTTGAAAAATATTCCAGTGATAACACATATGCACGTCCTTGATGAATTTGTCGACATTTTTTTAGCATTAAAATATGTAGCACCTATAGTAACTTTTATCTTCAACATTTCATTCAAATCACTAAAAGTACTTGGAAGAAAATTATAATAAATCTAAAGATTACTAAGACTTTAACACCCTGTAGCTACGAAACAAAGCAGGATCGGACCTATGTTGATATGAAAAATAATAATTATTTTTACTTGAGGAATCTCTCCACGAGAGATGGCACAAGTTTTTTGAAACACCCTGTATACTAGGGTGAGGCTTAAATAAGTGCAAATATTTACGAGTAGTATATTTCGACCGCAGAAACATGTCCATGAGGTTTTTTTTTGCCCAAAAACATTTTTGAAAATTTGGAATTTTATGAAAAAAGTTGTGGAATTTTTTTAATTTTTAGTTAAAAAACGTAATATATTCATAATATGGCAACATAGGTAGTAGATTAAATTTACGAGAAAGACAACCCAGAAAAGATCCAGCAGTTCTCAAAATGTAAGCAAAAAATCAATTTTTTTTAAATTTTCATAGTAAAATATCTCGGCTATTTTGAACTCATTTGAAAAACAGCAAGAGAAAATATGCTTCTTTTATCAAGATCTACCAGCCCTGAAAATATTTGCACTTATTTAAGACTCACCCTCTATATGGACAAGACTGTGATTTTGTCATCTGCCTACTTGTCAAATAGAAAGTAATCTGCATCTAATTTTAACTAAAGTGGTTATGGGCTCTAACCACTGACGACCAGGTCGCAACGACCTGGCCGTCGGCTGGCCGGATGTATTGCGATTATAGCTGCGGCCAGATGAACGACCAGTTTCAACAGGGTTGTCAAATCTAACGATTTTTTACGTTTTTACCAATTAGAAAATATTTTTTCAGAAATGTTAAAATATCCGAGTTAACTAAAAAGCGAAGTTGCTATTCATGAGCTTATTAAATGTTCTAATATTAAATAATGCATTTAAAATATTCTTGGATTTTTCGTTAATAAATACTGGTGTGGTAAATGGAGTAAGTAAAATCACCAACCCCGACTATACGATAACGTTGTTATTTCCATGTTTTTCAAATCCGCGATGCCTGCTATTCCATCGGTCGTTTCATAACAGAATATTCTACATCCTACGTCTATGTAATTTAATATGTGTAGAGTGAGACATGTAACTCGTGGGATTTGCAGCATTATATCAATAAAGGACAAAAACAGTATTGTTCCTAAAGGTGCGTCCAGAGTTCGGCATTTTAGCCCGAACGAACCGAGCGCGCACGAACAAGCAGAACAAATAGGCCGAACAAAAAGTATTGTGTACGCGCGACCGACAAAAAGGGAGATATTCTGTTTCTTTTTTCTACTGATATGGCGCCCTTATCGACTTTCGAAGTAAACATATTAGGGTGCAGCCACACTATCCTAAAAACGGCGTATCGGCGTAACGGCGTAACGACCTTGAATCGATTTCCAGTAATTCTATTGGCTGAAATTTTTGACAGATGAATTTGACAGATAAAATTTCTGACAGATGAATGTTTCAGCCAATAGAATTACTGGAAATCTATTCAAGGTCATTACGCCGTTACGCCGATAAGCTGTTTTTAGGATAGTGTGGCTGCACCCTTAGGGCCATCGTAAAAAAAGATCGTCAGACACTGGCTCTAAATATAAGCAGGTAGAAAGTTTAGCTTCCAGTTATTTCAATGTTGACAATATGACGAAGAATCTACAACAGTAATTACTTCTATTTTTAGGAATGTTTAAGTTACTTTCTTAATTCTTTTTCAAAATAATGTACCTAGTAGAAATATAGTCTAATGAATCCTGTTTGATAAACGTTAAATTAAATATAATATTTAAAATACAGTTGTCCTTCTTGTACAGGGTGGGTCAAATTCGACGCTTTTAAATGGAAACGCCCTTTTCTATAGGAGATAGACGAAAACTAATATCGGTCTCTGGAGCTCAATTTTCATCAAAAACATGATGGTGAAAACCGCACATCAATATCTGTTACCGTTTCGGAGTTACGGGGTGTTTTTCAAAAATGTGCATTTTTAACAGATCGCTGTAACTTTTTTGCTATGGAAAATTTTGTATTTCTATGAAAACATTTCCAAAGCACCTTTTTTACGTAGAGTTTAATGGTTTAAGTATAATTTTTTTTAAAATTAATAATTTAAGAGTTATCAACAGAAAATTGATTTTTTATTTGGGACACCCTCTATATTTTTAATTAACTGTAAAGAATTTAAAATTACCTTTCCAAAAATATAGCACACTTGATATTTTGTTATAATCCCCTTCGAAATACAGAATTTTTAAAAGTTCGCCACTTTTAACTAGTAGGCTTTGGACCCCTTATTGCTGATATGCCCTTAATGGAACTCGAAAACATATTTTTCCAGCAAGACGATGCACCGCCTCTGAACGCTGAAGTTATCAGCAAATTTTTGCAACCAATTTCAAGAATAATTGAATAGCTTACCAAGATCCCAGCCGTTGGCCGTCGAGGCCGCCTGACTTAGTGCCCATGGATCTAATCCTATGGATATATTTGCGGAAGAATAAAGGTTCCTTATTCCGTATAATCTAGACAAGAATTAGAAATACTTAGCAGTTATGAGAGAGTATCTTTCACCCCTACTGAGTTAATGAATTCCGCGAGAAATGTTCAAAAACTGCCCCGTCTGTCCCTAACAGAAGACGGTTAATATGTCGAACACCTGTAGCAAAATCTCATGTCTTGGTTTGCTATTTATTTTTATTGTTATTAGATATAGTTTAAATGTGTTGATGTTGGTTAAATATATTTTAAATTGTTATAAAATTCTGCATCTCTCATAACAAATATTATTTTCGTTTTAATTGATGCTCACAGCTTGAATTTTTGCATTATAGCCGGTGCCGTTCAAAGCCTACTTATTTAAAGCGGGCAAATTTTTATATACTCTATATTTCGAAGAGGAATCGAGCAAAATATCAAGTGTGTTATATTTGGAAAGGTAATTTTAAATTCTTTTCAATAAACTAAAAATATACAGGGTGTCCCATATAAAAAATCAAATTTTCTGTTGATAATTCTTAAATTATTAATTTTAAAAAAATTATACTTAAACCATTAAATTCTACGTAAAAAGGTACTTTGGAAATGTTTTCATAAAAATAGACAATTTTCCATAGCAAAAAAGTTAAGCGATTTATTAAAAATGCATATTTTTGAAAAACACCCCGTAACTCCGAAACGGTAACAGATATCGATATGCGGTTTTCACCATCACGTTTTTGACAAAAATTGAGCTCCAGACACCGATATTAGTTTTTGTCTATCTCCTATAGAAAAGGGTGTTTCCATTTAAAAGCGTCGAATTTGACCCACCCTGTACATGACTACAATACAACTAAAAAAACTAATTTAATAAAAAAAAACAAGTGGTGGTAGAAAAACTTTAAATACTATTTTTTTTATCTCTTAAAATCGAAACTCAAAGGTATAATAACATGTATCATACCAACCATAAATAGAGTAGGTATGTCATATTAAAATATTTTGAGTTTTTACTAGAATCGACCCTTGATAAAAAAAAAAGGATTAGCAGTTATAAATATACAGTTGACGCGCTAAAATTCAAAATAAATTCTTAGTTATAAATCGTTTGTAAATAGTTCTATAAGTCTTTTATCGTTATTATTTTTGTTCATTAGTGTTAAATAAATAGTGTTTAAATAAATTGTGACTTTCTATCCACACGGAACCGACGAAAAACGTAACATTATTAATTTGGAAAAAAAACCGGCAAGAAGCGGCAGAAAATAATAATATTTCCGTGCAGTCTACTGGTCGCAACGACCAACGGACGGCCAGGACGTTAGTGTGCGCGGTATCATTTGATTTAATGGTTTTAGGGGTAGCAGCAGCCTGGCCGGTGCGACCTGGTCATCAGTGTGTTCGAGCCCTAAGATTAGGCAAAAAGTGTTTAGAAAAAAAAAACGTTGATTTAGAAAATTTAAAAGTTAAACCCGTTAGAGATGTACAAATATTACTTAATATTTTTTTATTTATTTACAATATATACAATCATTAGTTTCCTAAATATTATTATACAAGGTGATAAAATTTATTTATATAAATAGACAATATAGACACAATTTTATAAATATACTTTTTCTGTATAACAAATTTTATCGGTAAGGAGGCAATCCGAAATGTTCAGGTTCCAAATGATTTAGCGAATCGATCCTTAACGTAGCATATTGTCCGTATTCGTGTGGCACGTGAGGCTCTGGAACCATTACAACCTGCATGCCTGCCGCAATACCCGCCTTAACGCCGTTCAGAGAATCCTCGAACACCAAACATTCGCCTGGGCTCGGACTGGAGTTAAATCTTGACGCGCAAACGAGGAATATGTCCGGAGCAGGTTTGCCAACTGTGACGGCGGGGTCGGAGTCGCCGCAAACGATGTGCTCGAATGCCTGGAACAATTTCTTGTGTTTGCGAGTTTTTATTTGAACGGCTTTGTCGCTGGAGGATGTCGCTATCGCCATTGGTATTCCGTGATAGTTTAGGTGGTTGATCAGCGTTTCTGCACCTGTAATAATTATAGAAATGTCGTTACTAGTTTCATTAGTATTTACAAATATTGTAGTGAATATTCTTATGATCGAGTAGTGGAAATACTATAACCGGGTGCGTCTCAAAAGTGGCTCACCCCTATAACTTTTTTATTTCTTCAGATAAAAAAACGAGATTTGGTATGTTAGTATATGACATAAATTAGGATTGATTGATGTATTCAATTGTTTTCGGTCACTTTCTGTTTCACCGGAAATGACTACAACTTTTGATTTTTAAATGCCACCCCCGGTATTTTTTTACTTTATTTGATAGAAAATGACATTCTGAATAGAATGACAAATCATATGTCAACTTTTGACATTTTCGCTTTAAAAAACATCGTATTTTAAATTTCAATCTAGAGTACAATGGCTGTGTTAAAAACACTAATTTTTAATCAAGGAGCCTTGGAAAAATAGATTTGATCGTCTAATGTGTGTCCTGGCCTGGTCTAGTGTCCTGTCCTGGCCGTTTTAAATATGCGCAAATCGTATTTTTAATCATATCTCAAATTTTTCAAAGGGAACGAGGGTGGGTCATTAGCATATTTCGAAAAAGCATTTTTTTAAGAATAATTTGGTACCACACATTTGGTATTTTAAATCATATTGTCGTTATGAACCTCATGTTACAATGTCAAATAAACCATATGCGAAAATGTCAAAAGTTGACATATGATATGTCATTCTACTCAGAGTGTCATTTTCTATCAAAAAAAGTAAAAAAATACCGAAGGTGTCATTTAATGATCAAAAGTTGTAGTCATTTTCGGTGAAACAGGAAGTGACCAGAAAAAATTGAATACGTTAATCAATCCTAAATTATGTCATATACTAATATACAATATCTCCTTTTTTTTATCTGAAAATATAAAAGTTATATGGGTGAGCCACTTTTGAGACGCACCCGGTATATGTTACGGTTAAAGTCCGATATCCGACTAATGTCGACATTAACAGGTCAACAAAGTTTGGGTTTGGTTTCGTTTTTGGTTGTTTTGTTTTGTGTTATTCTCGAGATTAACCGGGTAATGTCGATATTAACCGGATATCGGACCTTAACCGTAACAAATACGAGTTTCGTAAATTTTTAAAAAAGTTACGAACTTTAAAACTTAAATTAAATTAAAATGGATTTATCCGGTTCTTAGACCAAAGTCATAAAATACAGTATGATAGAAAAAAGTCGGATATGTTCAGTTGGCTTGGAAATGACACGTGCGATCGATGACATTCCCCATATAATTTTACATAATATAAAACAACAGCGACCCTCATTTCAGAGCCATCGCTGACGCCGACTTTTTGACTCTGTTCACCTCACCTGGCATAAGGTCACAGTCTCCCAGTCTTTCCAAAATAAAATTATTGTAGAGTTGCAAAAAGGTGTGGTTGTTTATCGGCAGTTCTAATTCTTCCCTGGCAATACTGGCTGTCATCGGTTGAGGTGTCCCAGCAATTTTTAGCACGACATGATTGCTACATTTTTTGTCGTATAGTTCTGCCACGTGGAATAAAGCTTCTCTGTATAATTTCTCTGTGTCTAAAATATAAAATACAATAACAATAAGAAGTGACAATCAGGAAAATTTAATAATGAAATCAAAAAATAATTATACTAGAGCTTAACACCGTTTGTCTCTATATTAAAACTAAACTACATGGCTGTTTAGAAATCAATATACAGGGTGGTCCCAATTGTAATCGTAAAATTTCCGTAACATATTTTGCAGATAATATACAGGGTGTCCCAGGCTGAGCGTGCATTAGAAGTTTCTAGAGAACCATAATATCTAGATCGGAGATTTTTTGCACATCATTGTTTTACAACGAGATCTATCGATTAAAAATATTTTCAATATGCCGGCACTTCCGGAAATACCGGAAGTTGACTACAACTATCTTATTTTAAATGGCCGCCCCTATTTTTTATTACATACTTACATTCTCTGTAAAATTCTATGAATATTGATGTTAGACACTCTCTACCTAACATTAACCGTTTTTGAGAAAAAAAGTATTTAAAATTTGTGGACGAAAAAAACTACCTGTCAAAAAAATTTACATAGCCTAAAAGTCAAATTTAGTGATTACTGCAGCTATTGTGACATAAAGAGAAGACATGTAGCTATCTATCTCAAAAATTAAATTGTTCAAATGTCATATGATAATGGAGGTAGCTGTCATGGAATTGAGTGATTAAAAAGTTATCATAAATCATTTTTTTCAAATGGAAACCTACTTTTTTTATTTCACTAGTGAAAAGATTTTACAATTTGTTACTTTTTAACTATACATGTTCCTATACCAAAAATAAATCGTTTTTAAGTTATTTAAGATTTAATTTGAAAACGTATATTTTTCTTGATTTTATCTAGCTTCCTTTGACATTAAGTGTCAAAAAGTCAGACAATTTATTTCCATCTATCAGAAAAGAAATTATTTGAATTTCCTATATTGTTACCCTGTTGCCTTAAAAGTTTAAAAAGTGTTTATAAAAATATATCTCGTATTTTCGCTCCTTAGTGATATCTAATAGTTGATATTATTAATTATATTAATAATGTACTGTATCAACCCTGACAAAAAAAACAACGCAAAGTTGGCTTGCAAATGATGATCGATAACATACTGCTTTTTGAACAAAGTGTCACAATTCGACATGGCCAGATCTATTGTTTTACATCACTTGACGTTTAAAGTCATAGGCTACTTGTTAAAATCAAGAAAAATATACGCTTTAAAACTAAATTTTAAATACCTTAAAAACGATTTATTTTAGGTATAGGAACATGTATAGTCAAAAAGTAACGAATTGAAAAGCCTTTTCACTAGTGAAATAAAAAAAGTGGGTTGCCATTTGAAAAAAATGATTTATGATACTTTTTTAATCTCTCAATTCCATGACAGCTGCAGCCATTATTATATGACATTCAAACAATTTAATTTTTGAAATAGATAGCCATATGTCTTCTCTTTATGGCACAGTGGCTGTGGTAATCACTAAATTTGACGTTTAGACTATACACATATTTTTGACAGGCAGTTTATTTCGTCCAAAAATTTTAAATATTTTTTTTCTCAAAAACGGTTAATGTTAGGTATAGAGTGTTTGATATCAAAATTCATAACATTTTACAGAGAATTTAAGTATGTAATAAAAAATGGGGGCACCTATTTAAAATAAGAAAGTTGTCGTCAACTTCCGGTATATCCGGAAGCGCCGCCATATTGAAAAGATTTTTAATCGATAGATCTCGTTGTAAAACAATGATGTGCAAAAAATATCCGGTCTAGATATTGTGGTAATCTAGAAACTCATAAGGCACGCTCAGCCTAGGACACCCTGTATATCATGTCCTAATATGTGTTTTAGAGATACAGGGTGTAGAAGTTTCGCTTTTATTTCTTTATTTTCTATAGCCCAGGAGGCAGTGAAGATTTTCGCTACTTATTTTCCCAGCAAACACCGATATATAGAAGTATTCGGTGTGTTATTCCAAGCAAATTTCATATACAGGGTGTTTCAAAAAATATGTGCCATCTCTCGTGCGGAGATTCCTCACATAAAAATAAGATTTATTTTTCATATCAACATATATCCGATTCTCGTTTGTTTCGTAGCTACAGGATGTTAATATTTTTTCGATTTGTTATAATTTTCTTCCAAGTACTTTTAGCGTTTCGAATGAAATTATGAGGGTAAAAGTTACTATAAATACGACATATTTTAAAGTTAAAAAAGTGTCGACATATTCACCAGGGACGTGCATATGGGTTATCACTGGAATATTTTTCTAAAAAAGGTACCTACGTACGCTTCTGACTTTTTTTCTCTTGTTAGCGAAATAGTGTAAGCAGTTTAATGCCGATTAAAAGTTGTCTCTTGATATTTTGTCGATTTCGGCCTCCTTAATGAGATAAACACAATTTTATTATCTTACCCTGATCCAAGTCTAATATAGAAAACTTCAAAAAAAATCATACCATTAACTTGCGAAAATTTTAAATAAGTACTCATTGATTCCTCATCAAAAAATATGAAAAAAAGTTCCTATAAACATGGTTATGGAAATGTATAGCTTTAGAGTTACAGGATGTTAAAACTTTTTAAAATTATGTTTTTTGTAATTATCTTAAATACCAGTATTTTTTATTTGAAATTGCTGTAGATTGGACTACTAATAATAAGGTTTAAAATTAATATAGGGAAAATATATAATTTAATAATTTTATTTTTATCTTAATCTTATTAATTATGATTAATAAAATTGCGTTTATCTCATCAAGGAGGCTGAATTCGACAAAATATCAAGAGATAACTTCTAATTGGCATTAAACGGCCTACACAATTTTGATATCAAAAGAAAAAAGTCAGTGGCGCATATGTTTTTTTTTAATATTCCAGTGATAACACATATGCACGTCCCTGATTAATTTTTCGACATTTTTTTAGCATTAAAATATGTAGCACTTATAGTAATTTTTATCTTCAAAATTTCATTCGAATCACTAAAAATACTTGGAAGAAAATTATAATAAAGATTACTAAGACTTTAACACCCTGTAGCTACGAAACAAAGCAGGATCGGATCTATGTTGATATGAAAAGTAATTATTATTTTTACGTGAGGAATTTCCCCACCAGACATGGTACATGTTTTTTGAAAGACCCTGTATAAGTGAAGACTTACCCAACCCCAAAACACGCCTATGGGTTTTTTTGGCAAAAAAAAACGAAAATTTGGATTTTTTTGAAAAAAAATTTGGAATTTTTTTTAGTTTTTAGTTAGAAAACATTATTTCTTGATAATATGGCAACATAGAAAACCCAGAAACGATCCAGTGGTTCTCAAAATTTAAACAAAAAATATTTTTTTTTGAAAATTTTCAAAATAAAATAACTCGGTTAAGGAGTAGTATATTTCGACTCCAGAAACACGTCTATGAGATTCTTATCAGGAATTTTTTTTTAGAAGATTTGGAGTTAAAAAAAAAGATTTTTTTAGTTAAAAAACATATCTTCATAATATAGCAACGGAGGTAGTAGATTAAATTTAAAAGAAAGAAAACCTAGAAAAGATCCAGTGGTTCTCAAAATTTAAACAAAAATTTTTTTTTTGAAAATTTTCAAAATAAAATAACTCGGATATTAGGAGTGTAGTATATTTCGACTCCAGAAACACGTCTATGAGATTCTTTTCGGGAATTCTTTTTTTGAAGATTTGGAGTTTAAAAAAAAAGATTTTTTTAGTTAAAAACATATCTTCATAATATAGCAACGGAGGTAGTAGATTAAATTTAAAAGAAAGAAAACCTAGAAAAGATCCAGTGGTTCTCAAAATTTAAACAAAAATTTTTTTTTTGAAAATATTCAAAATAAAATAACTCGGATATTAGGAGTGTAGTATATTTCGACTCCAGAAACACGTCTATGAGATTCTTTTCGGGAATTTTTTTTTGAAGATTTGGAGTTAAAAAAAAGGATTTTTTAGTTAAAAAACATATCTTCATAATATAGCAACGGAGGTAGTAGATTAAATTTAAAAGACAGAAAACCCAGCAAAGATTCAGTGGTTTTCAAAATTTAAGCAATTTTTTTTTAAATAACAAAATAAAATAACTGTTATTTTGGACTTGGAAAAAACAGTAATGAAAAAATATGTTTATCTTATCGAGATTTACCAGCCATGAAAATATTTGCGCTCATTTAAGACTCACCCTGTATATGACAAATTTTATTATGTGACACTTTATACTAAAGTAAAAAATTAAATTTTTCTTTGTTGGGAAAAAATTTGAATTTTTCTTTCAGTTAAATTGACTGTGATAACAAAGATGTTTTCCTTTTGAAAAAAATCCCTTCAATAAATTTTGTTTAAATTTTAAAATCAGAGAATCATGTAAAATGCAATGATATTTCTGTAGCAACCAAAAAATTGTACTTGCCTAAAAGAGTTCCGTCCAAATCGAATATCACATGAGACACTTCTTTAAACTTTTGAAAATTGCCGAGTTCCATTTTTTTCAAAAAATATTTTTTAATATTTCCCGGCGACTGGTTCAACTGTAACCATACAAACAAGCCAACAAAAGGTTTTATATATGACAAAGAAATATTAAAGTAGACGATGTAATTACAATGTTGACGAGATGATAATGGCGATCATGCTACAAAATCATGGAATCTTATCGATTTTCTATTAATTGCACCTACACCGCGAGTGCTTGTTCAATTTTTGGGTCAGAAAGCGTTCGGTAATTAGAAATAAATGTTTCAGCTTGTGGAGCTTAATAGGTTACTGGCCAAATTGTCAACAATAGATATATGGCTTTCGTTTACAATATAAATGAAACGTTTAATCACTCATGGCCCCCTATAGAACGTTTACTTGATAGAAATAGAAAGATTTTGAGCAAAGGTTTACTTTTTAATTATGTAGCCCAGGGTTTCTTAACCTTTTTCAGTTCGCGGACCCCTAAAAAATCAAACTCAATTTCAAGGACCGCCTTAATTAAAAAAAAAACAGAAATTTTAGCATAAATTATTTTAGTACAAAAAAAATTACCTTTTTATAAAAATTAAAAATACTGTATTAATATGATGGTTGGTGCTGCTTTCTTGCAACTAAATTAGTAATATTCGAGTTGATGTTTTTACTTAGTTGTAATCTCAAATCGGATTCCAATTATTGTAATCTGTTTCTGTATTTGTGTTTGATGTAATTGTTTTGCACCCCTTAAAATGTTTACTATGTTTTCCCTTTTAATACATTTAGAAGGTATAATATGTCGTTGTGGCCGGCTGTAGCGCAAGCAGTTAGTGAGTCGATCTGCGGTGCGAGAGATGGGATGGTACTGGGTTCGATCTTCAGCCACAAAATATACACCATACAGAAGCGACAAAGAGATTTGCTTCAAAATTTTTAGGAGGGGGTAATGCTGGTTAACTGTCAAACGTGACGTCACAGAATTATACACCAAAAAAAATTCACGACCGCAGGTATAATTATTTCTAGATATTATGCATAAAAGACTAAAAAATATATTTCATAATTATTTATTTATTTTTAATTCTAAATAAAAATACTGATTTAAATCCCTCTATTTTTTAAAAATTAAATAAACCTGCCTTTCATCGTTTTCTATTAAAATCTAACAATTTTCTTTCAGTGTGAAATGCTGTTCAAGGCGCACGGATGTCAAACGTGACGTCACGCAATTAGTTCCCATTTGACCAATGCTATTCAAAGCTCTTTGTCGCTTCTGTATGGTGTATATTCTGTGCTTCAGCCAGTACGGTCGCATTATTTATTTTAAAAAAAATATTGATTTATCTAAATAGAGCGACCAGCGAGCCGCCCGCGCCCCGTCAAGGAAGGTAATGGCAAACCACCTTGAGTATATTTGCCTTGTACAGCCTCTCAAATAGTGCCGTTCGAATTCCGCGATAAAATGTAGGTCCCCTGGACTTGTGAAACACTGATGACACACATCACAAGTACATGCGAGAGGTAGCCGACGCTCTGCATAGAGTATGGCAAGAATATATAAAGCACTGTAAGAAGAAGAATATGTTGTTATTTTCGATAATTTTTAATAAATATACTAAAGAAGTAAATTGCAATTTTAAGATATGTGGATCAGCTTGAATATTGAGGCGATCCAATATTCTTAAAAGTTTTATTTGTTCTAACTTCTACCAACATTCTTCCTCACCACACTCGTCCTGTACAATAGAATAACTTTTACTGGCAACGTTTAGTAAATGTTACTTTCACTAGTGAATGTTAGAGATTACTAGGAAAACTCGACAAATCTCTTTGAAATATCACATTCACCGGTCCAATGCGTAATTACTAGCATTTCCTAGTGAATGTTAACAATCACTGAATTTCCGACTTTTACTGTAACATATACAAGAGTAGAGAATGCCTTTCCACAGAGGTATGTGGATGAGAAAAGCAGTAAATGTTTCAGTGCTTCTTCATGTTTCAGATATTTCTTTATATAAACTTCTTGCTGACATTTAGTTATTAATTGAAATGTTCATAGATAAGACGGCGCGGCGGAGCCCCATACATATACTCGCGGACCCCCGGGGGTCCGCGGACCACACCTTAAGAAACGCTGATGTACCCCAATCATGCACTTTAGAGTTTTTCAACAAAAAAAAGAGAATCGGAACTTTTGATATGGGAAGTTTTGGCCAATTCTATACCTAAGTACAATATAACAGCAAAATAAAACACTAATTCACCACAATACACCAAAATACTCTACTTCTGTACTGGAAGCGCTTTTCGATAACTATGTTAGCATCATCAGCAGATGATTAACGATTAATCATCTGCTGAAACAATTCAAATTTGAAAAAAACATATCCATATCATAATTTTTTGGCACTTTTTCTTAATTTATTGTAAAATTACTTATACCAAATATGTAGATCATTTATTTCTCTACAAATTTGCCCCCTTTTTGTCGAAAAGTGTAAAGAGGGCGCTCAAATGACAAGAAAATATAAAATCCAAGATGGCGGACACTTGGGCAAGTGTGGACTGATCTTGTCATCTACTTGTCAAATAGAAAGTAACTGCGTCAAAATTTTCGACACTCTATTTTTTTATTCTTATATCAACTTTCATTTGTACAGGGTGTCTCCGTGTTTTATGGGATTTCACGTTTATGAGTAGAATTACAATGATGCGGTTTTCACATTACTTTGCTACTTTTTTATGAAACTAACTATACTACATATAGATGTGTCCTAGCTTTCTTAGTTCCTGAAATACAGGATGCATTTGAGATTGATGAATTTGTCGACACCCCTCTTGTCTCGGTTATCCTATAACTTATCAAAAAGGTGAAAAATGTATCCCGTAGAGTTTTTTACATAGAATTCAGTGGTGTAACTAGTTTTTCGCTGGGATCTGTTATTTTCGAAATATGACTCAAACTTATGTTTTATTAAATGTGATATGCATATTATTTTTTTATACCATTTGGCTTGTTATGTTAACGTTTTTTAATATCCAAATTAATTGGTTATAATTATATTTATTACAAGATATTTTTCAAGTAATGCATGATTAATAAACAATAAATGTTAACAGATCGCACTCTAGATATGGAATATACAATAATTATAGTATTTTATATTTAGAGGGCACACTTTAGATTTTCACGTGATAACAAAGTGGATTTATGAAAAGTATTCATGCTGATCCAGTGGAGATTAATATGATATCCTTCCTAATAAAAAAGGTAAGTAGATGTCAGCATTTTATTTTTGTTCACTTTGCTTTAACTTTTTTATTTTTAAAAAACAAATGGCAGATGCTGTCAAATGCCAAATAGCACCCAATTTTTTAAAACTTTTTTAAAATTTTAACATCCTGTAACTTTAAAACTATGCATTTCCAGACCCATGTTTATAGGTGCGGAAAAGCATAGTGCATATAAAAAAAATTCCAATTTTTTCATATTTTTTTATGAAAAATTAATGAGTACTTATTTAACACTTTGACCAGTTAACGACAAAATTTTTTTAAGGGTTGTCATTACGAGTAACTTGAATTAAGGCAAATTAATAAAATTGCGTTTATCTTATCAAGGAGATCGAAATCGACAACATATCAAGAGACAACTTTTAATCAGAATTAAACGGCCAATTCAATTTTGCTAACAAGAGAAAAAAACGTCAGTGGCACTTACAGTAACTTTTAACCTCAAAATTTCATTCGAATCGGTAAAAGCATTTAGAAGAAAATTATAATAAATCTAAAAAAAATTAAAAGAAACAAAGCAGAATCTGGCCTATGTTGATATGAAAAATAAATCTTATTTTTAAGTGGGGAATAAATATCCTCAGGAAAGATAGCACATGTTATTTGAAACACCCCGTATACTTATACGGTCATATCAAATTGGTCAACTTTGACCAATTTGATATGGCACAAGCCAAATCCGCAGATAAAAACTTTGTATTTGTGTGGTGGGCCAAGTCTGTGGCGAACCATGTCTATCACAGGCCAAATCTGCAGACTTGATCTGTCAGATTGGTCTAAAAATGTGATCGAAGAATAAAGTCCGAGGACTTATAACGTATTTCCTTTCTAAACGAAAATACGGCTGTTTTTATTCTAATAAACATTTATCTAGATAAAAACTGGCCTCTGTGGAGCCGTCTCAGATACTTGTCAAAGCCCTGAGACTGTATGATGAGTTATAACCCGCCATAACTCAAAAAAGAGGAACACACAAGAGGTGATTAAGCTCACTGCTAAACATTCTACATCTACCGTATTATCGAAAAAAAAAGCGGCGTCAGCTATGAAGATCGCTGTCATTTTATATGTAAAAGTATATGCGAAATGTCATCGATCGTCATTTCCAAGCCAACTGGACGCCGATTTTTTTCGATCATATGGTATACAGGGTGTCCCAGGCTGAGCGTGTATTAGAAGTTTCTAGAGAACTACAACATCTAGCTCGGAGATTTTTTGCACATCATAGTTTCACAACAAGATCTATCGATTAAAAATATTTTCAATATGGCGGCACTTCCGGAAATACCGGAAGTTGACAGCAACTGTCTTATTTTAAATGGGTGCCCCAATTTTTTATTGTGTACTTAAATTCTCTGTAAAATTTTATGAATTTTGATATTACACTCTATATAAACACTCTACCGACCTGGTCATTTCAGAAGTGCGGTCTGGATTTTAACGTGTAAGATAGAGAATAATATAAATGACCGGTTGACAGACAGAGAGACAAAATAAAAAGCGGCATACAGTGTTGCCGGTTTTTACGTTTGTAGGAAAATGTGTGTAGAAGAAAATAAATTTATTTTAAAAACTTTCATGGATACTACTGAAATGAAGATAATATATCTAAGCTAAATATCCATCCATTACAGCTGTAAGTAAAAAGAGTAACTAATTGTGAAAAATAAAGTTCCAACCCTAGATGCAACATTTTTCTGAAACGCCTACCTGTGTGATTTGAAATTTTGATGCAAAATCCGGCAATACCGCGTAGAAGAAATGTATCAACCCAACTTTTTTCTCTCTTTAATACATTTGATTTGTCATTAAGCTTTTACATCACTGTCTTATACGTTAAAATCCAGACCACACTTTTAAAATGACCGGGTTGGTATATCTACCATTGACCGTTTTTGAGAAAAAAAATATTTAAAATTTTTGAACGAAAAAAACTGTCTGTCAAAAATATGTCTATAGCCTAAACGTCAAATTTAGTGATTACCACAGTCACTGTGCCATAAAAAGAAAGCATGTGGCTATCTATTTCAAAAATTACATTGTTCGAATGTCATATAATAATGGCCGCAGCTGTCATAGAATTGAGCGATTAAAAAATTATCATAAATCATTTTTTTCAAATGGAAACCCACTTTTTTTACTTCGCTAGTGAAAAGGCTTTTCAATTCGTTACTTTTTAACTATACATGTTCCTATACCTAAAATAAATCGTTTTACAGTTATTTAAGATTTAGTTTTAAAGCGTATATTTTTCTTGATTTTAACCAGTAGCCTATGACTTTAAACGTCAAGTGATAGAATAGATAAAACAATAGATCTGGCCATATCACATTGTGACGCTTTGTTCAAAAAGCAGCATCATCTTCGAGCCAACTTTGCGGTGTTTTTTCTCTCGATCATACGGAATATTATTAATATCAACTATTAGATATCGCTAAAGAGCGAAAATACGAGATATATTTTTATAAATACACTTTTTAAATTCTTAAACAGGCAGTATTTACACTATAGGAAATTCAAATAATTTGTTTTCTGACAGAT